GATCCATTTAATATGCCACTGGGAAACGCTTAATTACGGAGACTATACGGCACATTGCAGAGCTCAATGAAAGGCACCTGACATGAGTCAAACGCATGTGCCTCAACCCCCAATGAATAATCAAGACATGATTATTTTCCACCCACGAAAACATGACATTTTAATTGCAATTTATGCGTGCCGCTTAATCAGCAACGGTGGCAAAAGGAAGTCACAAATTGTGTTTTCCAGCATAATGTCTCGCAATGTATCCATCAAGCCTCGTAGGAACACATGAGCTTTTAAAATTTATACCCGCCATTCTAATCTCTCACCGCATGTATGTGAAATAACACACGAAATAACCGTGGAAAAATATTGCAAAACAAGCACTTTTTGCTGCAACACAAAAGAAAATTAAATAATCAGAGTGTGAAATTTCGACTAGTCTCTTTTTCCATCATTCCACATCATAAAGTTTTTATTATCACAATTTTTACTCATGAATGTGAGCTTTGAATTGTCTTTGGACGGTTTTTAATTTCGCAACAGTCAGTTTGAGAAGTGGATCGAGCAACAGAGGCGGCAAAGAATTACGCAATCGGTCTCATAGTTGTGCTCTTGTGTCCATTTGACCAGAATGGAACAACAGAAGAGACGTGAGTACATATTGCCAATGGTCCTCCGAAAGTCGGTGGCAACACAGTAAGCGAATTGAGTCCTTTCGCTGCAATCGTCCTTCCTGAGAGGACCGAGAGTGCCTGAAAAAAGCAGCCTATGTCCCATCAGTTGAATAGCAATACATTGGCTCGGAACCATTTATTACAATCACGTCTATTTGCCATTTTGTGCAATCCAGCCATTCTTCAGCACTGTCAGCGATGGCCAGTCATTTTTGCCGCCCTCGCCACTATTGTCACCCTCTCGACATTCGGCGGCGAGGGTTTTGTTTTCGGAAACATTGTCCATGTTTCCACATTGAATTTCACCTGGACAATAATTACGTGGAGTTGTTTTCACCCAGAGAACCGCACTAAATAATATGTATGTGTTGGGAAAATGCACACAAATATTGCTAATAATAGTAATTCAAATACACTGGCGAATATCTCACATTCCCACCTTCAATCCATGCAATACGATGAGTTTAATTTCAAAAGTCTCATTGTCTATTCATCCCAAATCGGATTTCTAGTCAAACGTCACAATTATTCTGGGTTTCCCTTTTTGTCTATTGATTTATTCATGGGGACATTTTCCAGTATGAATTGGACAAGTAACAGATACAATATGGATGGTTTTTTAGGTCATTGGCTGGTTGGATTTGAGCGATTTCATTTGAATATTTTCGGAGCTCTTATTTGCATATCGCAATGATATCTGTAAAATGCCTTAAAAAGACAATAGAGAAGTGTTCTAACAATAGACCATCCTTTTTCACTTGAATGAGTTAAAAATAAATCGTCTATGAGTTATTTGCAGAGGTATTCAAACATCGATGAAAGTTCCTCAACAGAATTTCCCTCGAAGGCACGACACTTTGATCACTTTCTTGTCACACCGAGTGGGTGTGAATGACAAAGGATGAATGGCTCAGCAATGGAATTACCATCAATATTCAAATATTTGCCACTAGGCGAGTGACACTGGAGGAATTAAGCAGAAAAAAATTGTAGGACAAAAATAAATCATAGGGAAATTGTTATCCGCAGAGGCGAAGAGAAATTAATATCCATCAAATAAGACACTTTCCTCACACACCCCCTCACATTTTTTTTTCGTATGCCGAGGGAAGAATAAATCGAAGATAGAAGGTATAATTTTCTTGTCTCGAGATTATACACGCTCGGGCTTTTCTGCCACTCCGCCCAAAAGCCCGAGGAAATGTGTTGAATTGTACTATCGCGCCGAGAGAGCGATAGTAGAGGCGAAAGTAGTTGTTTGAGGAATTAAATTATCGTTCATTTGATATACCCTGTCGCGTATTTCTCCACGCACGAAATGAGAAAATCATAGAGCAACTTTTCCTAGGGAATTCCAAGGGGGAGATAAAACAGTCAAAAGTGGTGTATAACTCAACAGAAGTGCTTAAGAAGTGGAAGTATGCAAAAGATTACTTTTTGATTTTAAGGTTATGGTTGAAAAAGATGTCCAAAATGTGTTTTTAAATGGATTCTTACAGACATATTCGGGAATTGATGTGGAAACAGTCTAGAAACTTCTAATTCTAGAAGTGTTAGGTAAATTTGGAAATGTTTGGAAGTGGTGTAGAGATTTAGGGTGTATTATCTCCCCCTTGGAGAATTCCTCATTATATTCTGTGATAGAGTTTGAGAGGCGGTGGAGTGAGTGTGTAGGCTCATTAGGTGTACTTCAAGCACCATTGATGATCGATTAACAATCATTTATTAACCTTTTTTCTACAAGTTCCAATAATCTCTCTAATGACTAGCCCTCGAGCCAATTCAATCAATATTAATTAAAAGGAGGACCATTAAAACGTGAATACACTTGGGTGACACAGAGAGATGTGAAGCTAGGGAAACAACAAAGTCAATGAAATTTTCTTTATGGATTCCAAACACCCCATTTTCATTCACGCGCCACAATCTCACCCCCAAGGCGAAATATTCACCGTGGCACCTATCGTCAAACACCACCCACCCCCACACTAACGCCCCCCGCTCGACTCATATCCGCCATTAATCCACGTGTCTCGTGGTGGAACAAGAATTTTACAGGGGCAATAATGAGCTTTATTAGCATCACATACAAAACAACCCCAAACCAGACGCACACGAGTGTCTCCAAAGAGACAGGGATGAGTCTGGGAAATTATATTAGCTCCAACATCCATGTGTACACGATCCGGAGTCGAGATATGGGAGAAGAAAGGCCATAAATCCATAAAACTTGTAATTGTGCACTCAAAGCCGTATATAAAATGGCATAAATGCAGACAGATACCCACGCCAAGTAAATTTAACTTAATTGCATATCATTTTGGATCATTATGCTTCATATGTGACTCGAACGTGGGAAAATGAGTGCGGAAAAGAGTTGTAAGTTGATGCTGAATCAATATGGGGGTATTGTATGATGGAATTTTAGAGAGTGTTGAATTTCTCGGAAGGATGAAATGTTACTGTAGAGTTTATAAAATGAGGATCAGATGTTGAGAAAATTGTGAGAAAGGATCGAAATGTGAGACCTGGACAGTTTATAATGACTTGTCTTATAACTTGTTAAATTCAGGATAATTTGATATATGTTATGTCTAAAATTTCACGTTGTATTCTTAAACAATGGCATGCAGAGCTGCTATCGGGATTAAGATGAGGGAATTGCACAGATAATACAGTAATCTTAGGCATGATTTCCGTAGAAAATATCCATTGTTGTATGCTACATGTATTTTATATATATCATTGATTCGGAGTACATTCAATTGAATTGAATTGACTAAATCTGATTGCATGTCTGCCACATGCAATTATTTACCGGAGAATTGAAGTTTCTCAGCAATATTTGCAAGATGCAAATTATTGTGCTTCTCAAGGGTGGTATTTTCCATCTGAGGCTTCTGTAAGCGAATAATTTCAATTGTTTGCCGGACAAAGCAACTAAATCCTTGCTTTGGTACGTGAATTGGAAGTATATTGAGGGAATATTGTGCTGAGAAATGCTTCGAGAAGCGTAATCGATAGATGGGAATGAAATGGAGCTTTCAGTGTGATTAGAAGAAAATTGCCATTATTTTTACTAAGTGCAATTTGCTTTTCTGGCTCGAAATTTGCACAAACAATCCTCAGCCAATAATCAAGTTTCCATCCCCGCAGCTGAAATCCCTTTGGGAGCGCTGCGACAATGTGTGCACTTTGCACATTTTAGTTATTGAAAGTTGAATTGAGTTGGCATCTGAAGCTGAGCGCGCGCGCGCGTGTGTGAGGCAATCGGGCGGGAGCTTTTCAATAAGCTCCAAGTGGGTGGGAAAACTCCACTTTAGCGTATGACCACAACACATAGAAAATTGAGTGTGGAAGAAAAGCTTTTAAGTAAATTACACCATGTTCACTCTTCCTCATTACACCATCTCACTTTGGCTACCTTTTTTGCCGCCCCTTTTGCGGATAGCTTCTGCACTGGCTCTTGCCCCATAAAGTATTCAGGGGTTACACAATGTGTGCGTCATTACAATAAAATTTCCACAAACTCGTTTTCATGTGCATCGCCCACAAATGAATTTATTGGCGGATGCAGAGTAACGTGCGCGCTTTCCACACTCCGCGAGTTCATTTCTGAGAAGAATTCCTGATGGTGTATTTTCTGCAGTTTTCCTTGTGGAATATTTTGCAAAACAAGGGAAAGAATTCATGCTTAAATTTTCCCCTCGGTAAATAGTCTTAAGTATACAAATTTCCAACACAAGTGGAGGAAAATTCCTCATTGGGAAAACAGCACTTCGGCCTGCGGTCTCGGATTATGCACAGAGAGAAGAAAATTTATAGACTAATTAATTTTCCTCTCACCTGCTTTTTTCTCCCTCTCACTCTATCGCAGCGAGGATGCTTTTCACCTTGTTTGAGGGAATCTTGGCGGATTTTCACCACTACCGCGCTGTTGTTGTGCCTGTGATGAAAAGTCCTTAAGATGAATGGAAATTTATTCGTCAGAAGATTTTCCCTTCACTCCCCAACTTAATCCAGAAGGCGATTCTCTCACGTGGAAAGGTCGTCGCCACCGTTGGATGGATCGAAGTAATACAATAATACAGACTAAAATTGAGCTGAAATATCTGCGTGCCGAAATTCCCGGTGGAAAATCCTTCGAGAGCTTTTCACACTGGCCTCTTCCCATTGGCCCTGGGTTTATACAGGCTCTCGACTGTCTGTGGGGTTTTCGGCTAATGTAAATGAATGAACAAGAGGCAAAGGTAAGCGCAGAAGCTCAACAGAGGCAAACCGGTATGAAAATTTAATTAAAATGCGTCTCATTTGAAACGAAATCATTTTTATTTGGTTGGTTTCTCACGCCGTTTCTCCCTCTTTTTCTTGTTCTTCTCACTCTGTGTGTTGGAACAAAAAAAATTCTTATACATTTAGAATTATACAATTTTTTTCCACTCTCTCCATAATTATTATCATTATTTATGCTCCTTGTTTATGTGCCACATAAACTCGTGGCTTCTCACCCTCCAACCCAACTCACACACTCTGTATAGCTCTTTCTTGATTTTTTTTTCACCAATTTCCTCATATATACAATAATAAAAATGCTTTCTCTTCTTCAATTATTTATGTACAACGATTAAATTACACTTATTTCAGGGCTTTAAAGTCATCTTTTAATGATTTATGACAAATTCCACACAGTTTTATAATCTTGTTTTACGGTCTTCGTTTGTTCTTTATATTTATCAACATTTTCCTGTGATACCTGTAGTTAAATATATTTCTTTTTAATGTTTATAACATCTTTATGATACTCTCTTTCTGCGTTACATATACAGCAAAATAATGTGATTTTCAGGGGAACAGTATAACTCTGAGTGATTTTGATGGGTTGCGCGACAACGCACATTATTCTGGGGTATTCATGAAATGCAATAACAAATCACTTAAATTTCCTCTCTACACACATTTCACTCTTCTCATCACACAATCGCATTTAGTAACTTCATTCCTCAAATCATGTCTGACCAAACCTTCTGTTGTCCGCTCGTTTTTTCGAGAATTCAACGAAGAGAGAGAGCAATTAACCGTCTTGCAATTCTTCTCTATACAATCATTAAATGACGTTGTACATAAGTTTTCTAATTGATAATATTGTTTTCCTCTAGAAATTCTCCTCTAACTTCACACCCCTATTATATGGATTTCTCCCATTAAATATTTCTCTATATTAAATAGTTTACTTTCTTCATTAGTCAATAAATTCATTTTCTTCTCCATTCACTATTTCATCAAATGAAAATAGAATATATTCTCTTTTGATTATTCGCACTTTCACGAATTCTCCAACTTACCAATTTTAGTAATATTGTATTATTTGAATTTCAAATTTCATTAGGAGCGCTCATTCAGTTTCTCTACACTTGAAAATAATCTCTTATTACACTTTATTTACACTGAATCGTATCTTATACGGTAGAACTATGGAGTTAATAATTAAATTTCCTCGGCCATTCTCCCACACCCTCCCCATGACCTTTCTCCGCCCTTTCTGGGAAACTGAGTGAGGATCTCCTGCAGAGATTTCGGGCAAAGTTTGATGGAGATGAACGAGGTGGCTTAACCGGTGGGGAAGAGAGTGTGAGAAACGGTGAGGAGAATGGATGTACTTTAAGTTATGTGTATATAATTTTATCACCGTAAATGACTATCCGAATGGAGTGATTGGAGGCCAAGCCATACCCTTAGATAATTGTAAATGTTTGATATAATTATTAGTATTGAGATACAGACACAGCTGCTCGATAATCCAGCTGAACCCGTCTGCATTGCTTCCGGACGCTCTCCTGCAAAGAGACAATACAGAAAAATAGTATAGAAATACAGATAAGCATCGACTCCTTTTACTCCTTGCCAGGCTAGGAAGCAGGATTACAATTTCCAGATCAATATTTTGTTTGTTTAGACGATGTGGATAATCATAATTCCCCGCCTTACAGTATTTTACACCCAACTTTCGGACATTCAAGGGGAAAATCACTCGCGATTTGAGATCAAAAAAATCATTTTATTAATTCAAATTTTGCTTTTTTGATTTTTTTTTACCATTAAGATTCCTATAAAATTGCCTTGTGACTTGCCCCTTGGGAACAGTCAAATCCATTGTCTGTTCCAAATAAGTTCTAACACTTCTTGGTCATATCGAAGAATGAATTCTGGCGAAATTGAGAAAATCTAAGTCACTGGAACATGTGACAGACTTTTCCGATACATGCGAAGTTCAGGCTTTGAATTCATCCTCTTCCTTCCACATAATGACTTCCAGACTGTGCTTAGAACGAGTCAAAAGCGAATTTACAATTGATAGTCTCACAGAGATGCAGTTTATCTCTACAGACGGGAAATGGATTATAATGGAACTTGCATGTTCGTATTATTCATCCATTGCAGTCAATGGAATAATATTGGTGACTTGAAGTGTTATGTTTTTGAATTGTGAACAAAAGCCGAAAGCTTTTCATGAAAGCTCATAAAGAAACTTTCCATCATCGGCTTTAAGTATTTTTTTAACTCGACAGAACGTGATTTTTTATCCTTTTTTCCCATTTATTTGGCAAAGAAACTTACTCTAAAAGCACATATAAAGCATTGAGTTTTATCATTATCCCGTGTTCATTACTGGAGAAACTCTTCGGAACTTTGCTGGTAATTATTGCTTTTCGCTTTCATGGGTGAAATACTCGAAGCACGATCAGTAAAAGACTCTGCGTGGTTTGCCAGCAGAATTCCGTAGAGTTTGTCGTGCAACAGCAGCGCTTCTTCCGTGCATTTTCTCAAGATCACGTTCATCACACATGCCCTCAAGAACCACACACACATCCTGATTGAAAGTTATTGAGTGCTGCGTGTGAGGTGGTGCGGGTGCATGTAATTAGGTGACACCGGGTCGCTGGGGTGAGACTGAGTTGTGCAGAGAACAGGCTTACCATTGAGAACGTGCACTCGAACGCTCGCCACATCCGCATTTGATGGGCTGCACGAGTACTTGCCGGAGTCAGTGAGCTCAGCATCCTGGAGCAGCAGGTAGGAAGTTGTTACTTCACCCTTTTCGGTGATTACGGAGACACCGCCTCGTGTTGAATCGTAACTAATTACCTAGAAAATTAAATGTGTTTTGTGCCATTACTATGGATGCAGAAACATCATCCGCCGTAACCCGAGCAATCATGACTTAAATATTAATTATGCGCAACGTGTCGTGATTTAATTCAACAAAAGCCTTTCCTTAATCCATCTCTCTTTTTTACACTCTCTATTGCCCTCATTTCCTGCTCACAATGCTCAAAGGATACTCTCCGTAATGGATTGTAACAATCAATTTTACTACAGCACTTGTCATACACTTCGATGATATTTATGTGTGTGCTTTTGAAAGTCACACATTTTATGAGATTTCCGTGTTTTTTCCGCCGAATTTTCTGACCATGCGGTGAGTGAATGTGTGAGATTTATTGGGCGCTTTTGTTCCGCATTCATAAACATTCAGTGAGATTCTCTCTCCTTGAACGAATGGGCAGCGTAATAGGAGGCATTTTGCGTCAGGTGGAGACAAATTTGTCGCTTTTTGCTTCGTTCTTTTTCCGAATGGGGCAAACTTTCAGCCATTTTTCACTGTTCCAACTCGTGGTTGCCCAAGAAGACAATGGTATTGTAATTAATGAGTACAAAAAGCAAATTTCAGAGGAGATCAAAGCAATTGCGCGATGTGCTGTAGGGAAATGAGAGCAGATTTACAAGGAAGAGATAATATGGTCAGAAGGATCAGAAGTGGTGTACAGGTCAGTAGAAGTTTAAGGAAGTGTTGCAATTTGTGCAATATTTGGTTCATAGCTTTAATTTCTGTTGATTAATTTATTTTTAGCAAGTAATTTTTATCCAAGTTATAATTTGGTCATTTTTTTCGAGGTTATATGACTGATTTAAGACTAAATAATCTATTGAAGTAGAAATACTTGAGTCTAAAATGAAAGTATTATCAGTTTATGTGTAGAATTGCGTATTTTTATACGCAAGAAAAGGAAATAAATAAAGGATTAAGACTATGAAAAAAATGCAAAAGTGCAATTTTAACGGATGAGAGTCAGTTTTCAGTTAGTTTTTGGTTAGATTTTAGTTAGATTCCAGTCATTAGTTGATTTTAGTCTGGTTTTAAACAATTCATAAAGTCTGAAGTGCTGGAAAATTTTAAGGATTTTTACGGAGAAGTGGTGTACAGATTTAGTCATATTATACCCCCTTTGCAGTTTCACTGAAATGCACGTGAGTTGGCTATGATGAAACGTGGATGTTTTGTTTAGTACGCAAAATTCCCAAAGGTAGAGAAAGTTTCTCGATCTTGGGAGGAGTTGCGTAGGTGAGAGGACAAAAAATTGAAACGAATTGACCCAGAGAAACTTTTCCTTATCACTTGTCTGGCTGCGTACGGTTGTAGGCTAGAAGGCGTGGGATTTTCGGCGATTTCGGAGGCTGCAGCCATATCTCCAACTTTATTTATAGGTGGATATTTTTTCATCGGTTTTTCTCACGTACGCCACCCACCGGATGGGGATTTCAGTGGGGGAGGAGCGCCTGAGGAATGGCGTGGATGAAGTGATGGTGTTCCGCAGAGCCCCAAAATATGAGGAGCTCTGGGAGGGTGAATGGCCGCAGTTTGACCAAGAAATAGATTAAGGTGATCAATCAATGCTTGAGATTCGCACAGCAGTGGACAAGTTGCTATGCAGAAGCTAGATGCGAACCGTGATAAGCCCCAGACGGATTTATTAAATGGGGAGATGGACGCATTGCTCCCCCGAGGGGCGCCCTTAGCATGGCGCAATCCCATCGGGGGCATTTCTTGCGCACCCCCCGCGACTGGGGTCCGTCTGTCTCTGGGAATTGCAAGGATATGCGGGAGTGGCAGCAGATTTGGCCCAGAGAGTGGGTGGGATAATTTATTGAATCCACCCATCCTTCAGTCACACAATTTGGTCAATGAGCAAGATTGTGCCTCTGTGCAGTGATATTAGATTTATTTTTATGGCATCGACGATATAAGAGCACTGAGGAGAAGTGGAACAACATCATCAAAATGAAACCATTCTCACTGGCAAGCGAGGCACATTTTGACCGAGAATGAAGGACGAAAGCGGATCCCCGAAATTCCCCATCACATTCTATCTTGTCAGGACGCCTCCGATGGGCGCGTCTCGGGCTGGGATGAGTGCGCTTTCCCGGAAGAATTGAACTGAGAGTGGTCCATAAACAGACAAACTGATCAATAATATCATCATTAAGTTCACGTTCCACTTTGTGTCTCTTCCACCCCATTCTTTTGGGCCTTTCCCATGGATTTTCCCATGGATTTTCCCACACAAAACATCCGATTCTGGCAGATTCCGCTGAACACTTGTCAGGTCTTGTGCCGAGAGTTGGAGGAATTGGAAAAGAAGGTGAATGAGTAATTCAAATCACGTTCCAATGCCCGAGTTTTCACTCACAAATCTCTAAAATTTCGGTCAATTTTGTAATAATGCCACACGCAATAGTAATTTATACTGTCAATATAAATCTGGATGGAGAGAATTGGAAAAATATTATCCCATGAAATTTGCAATTATTCCTCAATTATATTTTAATATAAAAAAAAACTTTTATGATTTTTGTGCGAAAATGGAATAATTTGGAAATATTGTCGTAATTATTTGCACCATTATATTAAGATAAATTCACAGTTTAATTGAAAAATCATTTATTGCCCATTAAACTAAGTATTTTGCAATATTAAAGTGCGAATAGTTAGTTTTTCGCCCTTTATCGATTGGAAAAAGATGCTTGAGTGGAAAAACAATTTGCTAAATACATCTCTGAATGGGAAAAATTGTCTTGTCATATCGGAAGTCATAATTTTGCCGAAATGATCTTGAGAAATGGCTGTGGGATTGATGTGAAAAACTCCACACACACACACGACTATCAGTGGTAAATATTTGACCGCTGTGTTTCCAGCACTTTTTGCGACACAAACCATCGCCTTGCTAATAGATGCAGAGCTATTTTGGATTCAAGAGCGGACTGTGAATGCGAATGAGGAGAAGAGATAGAAATCATTGAGCAAATCCTTTTGCTCCACTTCAAGCGGAGCTTCTTCCAGTATATTCCACTTAAAGCTCACATGAGAGCTTTCTCTCTGCCTGGGCGCCTGATTGCAATGAATATTTGAAGTGAGATGGAATTGGTATTGAGTGTGATATGGTGATTTTCTCATATTGAATCATTTTCATTTCATTTTGTATCAATAATAAAATATATTTGCTGCGAAATAACTCACTATCGTCCATATTTGAATCATTCATGCCTCATATATCATAGAGAGGGAGAGAGAGAGCTTTATTGCCAACACTCTCTTCGGATATTATTGTCTTCTCATCTCTGCATATTCGATTTCCAATCACATTTAGCCGCACAGGCAATTGTCTGCCGGAGAACATTGAAGGACAGCGAGGAATGTATAGAAGGCACTATTAGATCATATCAAATGATATTGAATCGAAGATATAACTAGAATTTCTCTTTTTATTCATACACTCGAAGAAATATTCTTGCAAATTGATAACATCGAATTTGACCAGAATCAAGAAATTGAACACCGCGTTTTTACTTCCTTTCAATTTTCGAGTGAGAAAACTGACACAAATTAAAGCTGAATTTGAGAATTCTAAAGCATTTTTTATTGCTTGCTATATCTACGGAAATGCGGAGTGAAAACAAGAAGAAGAGGCTGATTTGTTAATGAAGGGAATTATTGACGATGTATTTGCAATCAATGCGCTGCATTACAGCATAAAGCGGCGCGAATTCCACCGAACGAACGCACTTTTGCGTCCAGTGTGTGTGGGGCAATAGAGATTTTGTGTGAACACAGAGAGATTAATAGAGCTTTGAATGATAAATTTGACGCTTTGTGGCACAGAATTTGCCGGCGAACTCACCTCATCTTGATGGTACCAGAAAATGTATGCTGGCGGCTCTGGACTGAAGCGAATGGCACAGGTAAGGTTGATGGTGCTGCCTTTGTCTACGTAGAGATCGGGACCGCCTAAAATTGTGGCTGTTGGCACTGTGGGTGGAAGAAGAGGGTCTCAGTACAAAATGGGGCGGCGTTATTGCGAGGGAAAACATGTTAATCACGCAATGCTGGGCAAATTTTCGGTAAGTATTGACTTGATGTCATCGTAGGAGAGATAATGAAATGAGGGTGTCTTTGCGTCCCTTTGGAAGTCATATCTGAGCCATGATGTTTGCTCATTTTTGCATGAATGTGACGGAGAGAGATAAAAAGCGAGAGGGTGTGTGTGTGTGTGATTTTAAAATTACGCATCTCGCGCTTAGTTTCGTAGTTTGAAACTCAAATTCATGGATCACGTCAATGCAGCTCCTCTGGCTTATTCTATCTCCTTGCATTCAGCATTATCTCTCATGAGCAGTTTTGTGAGATTGTTTGTTAGAAGGGGAAACTTTGTTAATTTCCAGCTGAATCACTTCCATGCGTGGTGTTGAAGCATAAAGAATAGATGCTCAAGCAGCACAAAATACCAGCCAAGTCACTTCGCAGAAGGTGACTCGGGGAGGCAATGTGTGAAGAGAAGTTAGAAAATGTTAGATAAGACAAGAGTTATAGTCAACTTTTAGGTCGACTCGGTGGGGTGAGCGATGACAAATATATAACACTTGTTAGCTCCAATGCAAATTGTCGGATCATTCGTTAGAGCCGGGCTTGCGGAGTTCTGTGTGACAAATTGTCTCTTGCGGTTAGATCAAGCGGACACAAATTGTACAAAGAAAATCACATATGGGCTACCATTGAAGTGTGGAGGCCCATTTGTCTGGCGGCGGTAGTAGTTGTTCCAATTGTCGGAACCTGAGGGCGGGTACCAATTGGGGGGGTGGCGGGGCTGCTGATAGGGATATGGTGGCTCCGGACGATCATTGTAGAACCTCTGAGAGGCGCCGCCATAGAAGTCATCGTACTGCTTCGATGGATCTTGCAAATATTGGGAGAGAAGCTTGAGTGACTGTTTGTGGATGGAAACTATGTGGAATTTGCAAGCTTTCTCAATACGGCTGGCACTCGACATAAGAATGCTGGGATGTGAAAGTTGCAAAGTATTTCATTGAGATTGCTCCAGATCAATGGTCATATGGGAAGGATTCCTCACACAGCATTTTTCAGCTGGGAAAGCTCCTTGACTTAGAATCTAATCTTGCAATTTACCACTTCAATTGGGAAGTTTGACGCAGTGAATGTTCGGGAAAGTTTCCTCAGGAATGCCAATGTGTAGCTGTACGAGTTTAGTTTCTTCACAATATATATTAAGTTTATGTGGAGTAGCGCAAATGGGCGACTGTTCAATGGGCAAACTTTCCTTGCCATTCAATAGAGAAATAGGTGGCACATATACAAAATGCATTGATATCTCGTGAATTATTCACTGAATTTGCCAAACTTTCCGCCAAAGTCTGCAGGGAATGTCGTATTTTTGTTCCCAATTTTTCCAAATGCGACGAAAACTTTCCACCAAAGTGCTTCCAGTAAAGCAATCCTTGCTGGAAATGATAAATGAGTCCCGAGTGTGAATTTGTTGCACTCCGCGCCCGAATTGGCGCGGGGGGAGGGAATTTGTCAAACTCACCCACAACACGGAGCGTCACGGTGTAGCTGCGGATTGGCACCGATGAGATTTGACACTCATAAGTGCCGGCATCGCGCGGTTGGGCCCATTTGATGTGCAGCGTCCACTCATCAGTGTCCTTGTGGTGAGTGGTCTGAAACCGCTGGTCGGACGTGTAGGTGTAAGTGCCAATTGTAAGGACGTGAATGTCCCTGTGACGCACCCAGGCGACCTATATTGGACAATAAGAACCATTACTAGGTGCACCGCAACCGCTGCAGCTTCCTCCATTCAAATCTATCCGTGAGGCATCACAAGCAATTAAGCAAAAAGACATTCTTCTGAACAATGAATTGCACCCAGAGAAATTCGTAACAAAATGGAGGTTTTTGTAGTGATAAATTGTGCTCCAAATGAAACAGAGCCACTTGAGGCTCTGGACATATTAATGTGCCACGGATTTTCACGTGAAGCTAGAGGTGTCAAATTTTTCACCAATTCTCACTCACTAATAAGTAATTACCGTGCCAAGTTTGGAGGCATTCGGCCTATTCCTTAATTCCTTTATGAACTTAAATAGAACGACACGAGTAACACTTGAATCTTTGTCACTTAAATATGTTTAGGATTCTGAATGAGGTTTAAATAAATCCAATGTGTCTTTGGGATAATTGTCCCGTCGATTTTAATTTTTTACTGGATTTTTTAAGTTTTCTGTGTGAAATTTGATTAAGTGAACAATACGCAAATCCAGAGGAACTCTGATTTTGGCAAGAGAGTTTGGAGCACAATTGAGTGCGCAATAAAGGAATTTTTCTGGTGTTTAAGACGAATTCCAACCAGTTTACTTCTAAGATCAATTTAGAATTGTTCTCAAAAGTCTCTCTAATCTCTGATAAAATCGTGAGAAACAAATTTCTCAGGTAGCTCGTAATTATTTCCTGAGTATAGACTTCAAAACACAGAGATCAAATGTATTATTTTCATTTTATGGTCTCCTTAATTCTTGTCTACTTTATTAAAATGTGAAATGTGCAAAGTTAATATTTGAGCAGAAAGAAGATTCAAGAGTTACTTTACTATCGAATAGCAAACTTCTGGGGTAATTTTCTTCCCTACTGAAAAGTTGTGCAGGAATTTTCCTCACTTTCCTCAGTGCCTCCAGAAAAATGAGTGTACAAAATATTTTGGGCAAAATTGTTGTCAATAGAAGAATCTACTTACGGTTTTATTGCCGAGATTCCGGACGCGGCAGGATAAATAGGCCGATTTGCCCACAAGAGCGGTCACATTTCGTGGCATGGAAATGTCAAAGTACGCCGGGGAAATGTAGCCCAGCGATGGCATCGGCGTTGTCCGCTCAGTTAATGTATTGTGACCATGATTCTGGCCCTGGAAGCTCCCAACGGCGGCTCCTGTGGGTTGCGGAGAAATAAAGGATAAGGAATTAGGGTTGAAATATGTGTCCTTAAACATGTGCTATTTGCATGAGTGATGAGTGAGAGAAGGGATATTTTTCATGATGGAAATTTTTCATTTTATCACCAAGTGAATGGCTGTGTGTGGGAGGATTGTCGTAGTGTCCTTATCTGCGGAGCCAGATCGAGAGTGTAAGATTACAAGTGCGTGTGGGTGATATTTCTGATGGCTGAAGACTGCTTGTGGGCGGGAGGATGGCCGCCTTCGGGCGAGATGACATGAGATAGTGTGAGAATGGAGGAAAAGTGTAAGCAAAATAGTGTTATTAAACGTGACACATTTCACAATTTCTGATTTCTCTGTTTATCCCACACCCACAGCGACAGATTTGGGAGGAGAAGGCTCGGACGGGGGGTGAGTGGGGTGTTTTGCTTTCGCTGTACTGTGTCAGAAATGATAAATTATGAATCAAGAAGTGATACACATTGAATATCATACAACATGCCGTACACAATTCGTCTCTTTGCCACCTTCGGCGCACAGCTGAGCACCGCACATTCGCCATGAGGCCAGCCGCAGCGGGTGAAAAAGTGCCTTTCGAGGGGCCGCGAAGGAGCCTCGCGAGAGGCAATTCGAAGCATCGAAAGTGTGTGTGTGGAGGAAAACACAGGCGAGCATATTCGGATTTTATGTCTTATGTAAATTGTTTACTCGCTTGTTTCCTTCCACTTCAAACTCTTTTTCACGCGGGGAGCTTTTGAGTGTGGCACGCGAAATGGGAAGAGTCATCATGTGTGTGCAAGAATGGTTTTTACATGATTCGCATGCCCTCGAACTTCCCGCTACACGAGTTCACGTTACAATCTGTCTGCATGAATATCTCGAGACATGACTTTGAAATGAGATAAAAGTGTAAATTCCCTGTGAATTTTTCACGTAACTCGTATGATAAGATTTTCAAGCGGCAGAGAAGGAATTTTTGACGAAGTTGACAAGACAGACAGAGGGCAAGAAATGTCATTTGACTGACTTTTCCCCAGCTTTTAAAGTACATAATCCAATTTTGTGCACTTCAAGAGCGGGGGTGAGAATGACAAATTTGCATTTGATGTTGTATTTTCAAAGGCTAAACGCATTTTAAAAGCCACTAAACCATAATTCAATGCTCGTAAGCGCCCCAAAACTTCACCCAAATGCCCAATGTGAAAGTGAAATGAGAGAAAGGACACTGCGCTGGAAAGGGAGAGCTTATACACTTCATTCGGGGTGAAATATGGTAAAAGCATTTTTGGTGTTTCCGCAGCGAAAGAATAAATAATGACTCAGAACTTTTTATTTATTCTTTTGCACCCTAGCTTTTCTCTCATATTATTTTCCTTTCTGGCACCAAAACGCGTTTCAAATGAAACACCCACTGGAAAAAAACGTGCAGACTAGCGAAAAACCGCGACTCGAATGCAAGCAATGCAACTTTCATTTGCCACCGGATCAGAGGGAAATTTAACTGCGACCCTGCGGAGTGAATGACCCATATTTTGCACCCAATCCTGATTTATTTGTTGTGTTTTGGGGCATTGCTAATATTTGGGGAAAACTTGCTGGAGTGTAAAAATATCGATTAATATAGGTTATTCATTTTTTCTGGCATTGCTGACCTTTGAAAACGTGAAATTTCAAGCAAGTTTAATGAGTTGGTTAATTGAAAAAGAGCTAAAGACGGATGAAATTTATGGGGTTCTGAAGACACTTTCAAACATTTCATTTACTCCTCTAATAATGCCCAGGAAAAATCAATGCACGCGGCGAAAAGAACTTGCTCGCTATTCAATTTTCCGCCGTTTGACATGAAATTTATGCCCTCTTATTGGGGACAAATTTCAATTTGAGATACGCCGTGGAAAATTGATGGGAAAGTGAAGAATGGTGAGGAGCAGTAGTACGATTTCTTCCCAGCAACGTCAAGTTGAGTTAATCTCCATGGAGAAAATTACACCACAAGCCACTCATGAAAATACACCGAGAGAAACTTGATTATTTTCCTCTTGGTGGTATCACACTCATTCGATGCCATTAAATTTAATTGCCAAGACAAATCCTAAGAAGTGCCCGCATGTCAAATTCAATCTTCTGTGAATTGATCGGTGAAAATCGATACGTTAATATCATTTTTATTGCCACATCACTGCTCGTGAGAGTTTTTCCTGTCCCGTGATACTGAGAAACCTCGGGATTTCACCTGAAACGCGATGTTGAATGACGAAATGGCGTGAAGTCACAGAATGTGGGATGCCAAAAGCCACTTTCGATGTCTTCGCGGGCAAATGTGCGCTAAAGCCCCCATAAAGTGCTATTAAAGCATAATATTTTTCAACATTAAACTCTCAACATCAATTCAAAGCTTCTTCTTTTTCACCTCACGCCTTTGGAATATCATCTGACACGGGATTGAGTGGGTGTGAGAGGAGAACGAGGAAGAAATCTCAATATAAATTTCGAGTCGCGCCGAAAATTTTCGATGTCAAATAAATCCGGTGATGACAATCTTATGAATTTAATATACATGCGCCTTCCCGACTATTTCGCCACCCTCCCGAGCAAATCGCTCCACCGGTCATATTCTTGGAGTTTATATTGAATCTCTGGGGAAATCTCAGAGGCAATATTTGCTATGGGTCGAAAGGTCAACGAAAGCGTTCGGGAAGAATGTGCCAATTTGCATTAGGGCAGCCCCAACATTTTTGCCTCAATCTTGAACAAACATCACCCAATAATCCCATGAATTGCGCCATTGGTCAGTCACAGCCTCAATCGCCTCTCTCCGAGGACTCTGATTGCATGTCAGAAAGCTCCTCGCATCACGATAAGAAAGCATCTCATTTGGGAGATAATCCAGACCCAAGATGATCTCGAGACACTGCACTAATGAATTTAATATGAGCTAACAGATATTTCGATGTGTGTGATTATGTATGAATAGGTTTCCATATTAAATTACTCCCAGTGCTGATGAGCATGGGAAAGTACATTTAATATTGGGGAGTTCCTTGGAAAAACGTGGCTTCTAACGCGTAATTAATTACGCAAGTGGCAATTTTGACGTAATTGTGCTCGTATTTGCAGTTTGAAAACTGATTTGCAAAATATAATAGTTGCAGAGTTACTTTATTAGCAACTAAAGAGCGCTTTGGAGTGGCTCTCAAATACTATGGCATTCAAATTAATTAATTGAGATATTGGAGAAGCGGAAACTGCGTTGAAAGCAAAGCATGGTCTTGTAATCGTGGAATTGAGTCATTTATCCATTGTACGTGTAGTGCGGTGAAAAGCTCTCGTTCAAATGGCCTTTTCATGCGAACTACAGCACGGATTGATTTTGATTAAAGCCATCAGGTGGAATATTTTCCCGGGAACACCACAATTAATTTATTCACTTTGATGAGTTTCCAATGGGATTTACATTTCCCAGCTAGAGGACAAGGATAATTTGTATCGAAATTTTCATTAAATACACCCGAACTTTTCCTACTCAAACAGGTGAAATTGGAAAAGGGTCACACAAATCCCATGACAAATTCCCTACATATTTACGTGTAGTGATTTCGCTGCATATCTGCTAATTTGTACCAGAATTGCTCCTTTGCGGATGCTTAAATATCTAAGTCAGAATTATAACAAACTCCATCTCAGCGTAATTCTCATCATATTTGGCTCCCTTTTCGCCCCTTTCGCCACCCATGATCGCATATCTCTGAGCACAACTACATTATTAGTTGCGTTGTGAGGCAAGTGAAAAGCGGGGCAAGTTTATTATTGCCATAAAATGTATGATCTAAAGTATCTCGCGTACAGCATCTCTTGCACCCCAACGTTAATTTCCAAGTAAATTATGTTCGTCTATGGAAATGGGGGGTGAGAGGGAGCAAGTGCTTGGCACCCTCGCTTCGTGATAACGATGATTCTGCCAGCGTCTCCCCGGCCATCTAATCCAGCACCCCTTCTCGCCAATTTCCCCACCCCGTCCGCCGCCCCAAATCCCCCCGCTGGATGTGTGAATGTTCATTCTGTGTTGCGGCAGCCACCCCGACTTCCGCCCCCGCTCAGGGTGTGTGGCCTCTCGAAACCTTTGATGAAATGACGTGATAAAGTCATTTTAAGACGTATTAGCCGTTATTAGGGCGTGCCGAGCGTCCGGAGATTGAGGAGGCGGCATGCAAAGAGGGCTTCTCGACACAGACTTAAATTTGTATCTCACGCTAAACAAGCTTCACAAGTGCCGGTGTAAAATATTCGGGGGACACCCAGTATTGGATCCCCGGAAGTCACAGGAAAATTGTGTGCCATGGTGAAAAATTTCACAATGCAAATTGAAGGTGAGATAAGCTTAAGCTGGCGAGAAGCACCGCAATTTCTTACAAAATGGCACAGAACACCCTCTCATTGCCATCACAATGGCTCTATTCCCGGGGAATTGTGCAGAAAATGACACGAACACGGAAAGGGAGGCTCGCAAATGTAATTGAATTAGTATTCAAATTTTCAGCAATTAACATAATATTTTTATGATAATGCGTTTTGTTCACCCAGTTTTCGCTGTAAATGCATTTTGCCAATTATTTCTCATAGTAATTTCACAATTTTCTCTCCTCTCAAGGTATAGAAGATCAGCTGAAATTGCCAATGGGTTGGTAATGTCGATTTTGTCGCGATGCACAGAGATGCAATTTATTCGGGAATTTCCAGATTGATTCGATTCGAAAAGAACTACATAAAAAGGCTTAAAAATTCATAAACTGCCAACCAATATTCATTTCTCACCGCAAATTCCCACTAAATCTGTGCTGAAATTTTTATTTTCCTCAAAACATTTTCTTACTTTTCACACTTGTGATCAAAAACCTGTTAAACAATTTTTTCCGCACCTGAATTTTTCGATTTTTTTATTTAAAGGCTTCTTAACATGCTCTTTGACGCTTTAAACACCATCCTTGGGGTTTGA